CATAATATAATAATATAATGTAACTAATTTTAAACAAAACATTGAATTAACACTTTCAAATTTTTTAACAATTATAATTTGTTTATTTTTATCAGCTAGTAAACTAGTAAACTACTCATTCTGAACGATTATAAGCAGTGTATTAGTAGTTCGTATGCTACACTCTAAGAAAAGTCTGTAAAAATAGGGCAAAAACTATTCATATGAAGGAATTTTCCGTAATTATTATTCACACGTTTTTTTACCTACATTTTAAATTACGCATTGTATTTTGTGTTTTCGGGTTACAGGGTTACAATGGATAACGCATAATGTCCTGGAAAATTACTACATTTTTCTAGATATTTTTCTTACTGTGCATTAACTGCTCAACAAACTCAAGTACAAGCTACTAACAATAGAGGACGAAACCTGCAAAAACAATAAATAAATAAATACACAAATAAATAAATAAACATGCAAATAAATAAATAAATGTGTGTATAAATACATAAATTCTTGTTTAAATACATATAGAAATAATTAAACCTGTGATTAAAGTAGGCAAATAAATTGGTGGCCAAATGGAAAATGTTTAAGGAAATGCTAAACTCATCCTATTTATTTTCCTTTGATCACTCATTTATTTCTGAATGTAGTTCCGCATTTATTTTTCCTCTGCACAACATGCTAATGAGAGGGTGTTAATTATGGACTTGCTTTCCCGCTGACAGGAGATGCATGATGTAAATCCAGTATAGCCTAGTAAAGTCACTTTTGCCGTTCAACAGAGCAAGATACATAGAAAAATTGAGCTGTATCTAGGGACCGTCTCTAAAGTTACATACGACATTGGTATACACTTTTCTAACTTCAATAGCATTTGAGGAAAATTACTAACAGTAACACAACCAACTGTGAAGTGTTCATGTAGTTCTCAGTTATAATGCACAATAATAATCAAAAAATAATTGGGAAAAATAAATGCGGAACTACATTCAGAAATAAATGAGTGATTAAAAGAAAACAGTTAGAATGTGTTTAACATTTCCTTAAACATTTTCCATTTGCCCACCAATTTATTTTATTTATTTGCCTATATTTCATCACACGTTTAATTATTTATATATGTATTTAAACAAGAATACGTGTATTTATACGCACATTTATTTATTAATTTGCTAATTTATTTATTTTTAATTTCTGCAGGTTTGGTCCTCCATACCTAACAAGGTGTATCATAAATGAACAATTATTCAATTATTATTATTATTATTATTAAATTAAACAATTCTTAATAGCAGCCAACTTCATTCATGTGATGTGTGTACTGCTAGGCACCTTTGGTTTCCTCTTTTTGTGTCATTTAGATGGAAAATGTGTGCCTTTTTTATCGTTTGAGTCACTTATCAAAAGTTGCTAAATGTTGCCAAATAAATAAAAATAGCTACATTTGTTGCTAGGGTAGTCTGAAAAGTTGGTTAGCGCCTTCACCGGAAAATATTTCCCCTACTTCCGGTTTGCTTACGTCACATTGTGAAAGTAGCCTGTTGTGCTTTATCTAACTGCGCCATTTTACACCCGTGTTTAAGAATCTTTAACTCAACAGAAATAATGAGTATCCGAGTATCCAGTGGTTTCTGTATGCTATGTAGGAATTCACGTGATGTTGTTGAGGAAACTCAGGACGTCTAGTAACTTACATTTCGAGTAAGTGTCAAAGTGAGGAGGCAAGAAAAGTTATCGACTTCTTCAATAAGTAAGCAAGCATGAAATGTAACTTACACATGAAGTACGTTATATGCAGTTTTGATCTTATCAATGATGTATTAATTATCTTTGGTCTTTGGCCTGTATAGAACCTATGTTAAAATACACTTTTTAAATGCAGACCTAATCATAAAAGCCAAAGTTATAAACCACAGCGTTGCAACTATTTTCGCTTTAACATCTTTATTTATTTTTTATTTAGCTGCATGTCTCCAAATGTTCTGTGTAAACTAAAGTCAATATTGAAAAAGAATATCTGCTGATTGAGATGATGCCAGTTCTTAACACACACAATAACATCAGGGGCGTAGCATTAGGGGGGAGGCCCGAGACATGTCCCTAACAATATCCAGCGACTACCAAACTGTCCCTAGCAATGATTTTTTGTAATTTCGGACTCATCCGAACCGTCATACCATTGATATTAGGCTATCTAAGAAGTTAAATATGTGAGTAAATATGTTAGAAAACTGCGCGCTTTCATGAACGCATATTTAACGCATTGGCGGAGTAAGAACGCAGTCGCGCGCCGGAGGAGAAACACAGCCGCAGGTATCAGTTCAACACAGCAGTCCACAACAGTTCATATAAAAGCTCACTTCAGGAATTAACACAGCTGCATCGAGGAGTTTGAAGTACAGTGTTTGACAAAACAGAGCAAACGGAAAGAGAAAGCGCAAGCTATGGCTATTATTAGCTCTCCATATAAAGCATATTTACAGAAAGAAAAAGGTTGTGCTGAAAGATACACAATCTTCCAGCCTGGCATAATTTGGGACAAATATAATGAGATTTTATGGAAAACCATGTGAGTGGAATGTTGTTCAGCTGAATGCACAAAACAAACTGTTATAAATATCCCCCCCCCAAAAAAACACACTGAAATAAGTGCGTGCGGTTTATGTGTCCATCAGATGCAGGTGAAAGTTGTGTTCGTTACTGCAGCAACAGCAGAGTTTTCTTTCAGAATCATCCTGAGTCCAATTAGATTAATATAAGAATAAAGTGATGCGTGATTAAGACACCCAGCGCTCTGATGCTGCTGACATGTTGTTGGTTTAAAAATAAATAAATTGTGTAATTATTGGTGTGGGGGGGCATCATGTCAGAAGCAAACCTACGCCTTTGAATAACATGATGGCAAATCTAATTAAGCCAGAAGTGAAATCTTGATCACTGATTAGAAATCAGAAGTCAGAATCTTTTGTTTCCTATAAACACACACTGCTTGTATTTTGTTGTATCTGAGTGTTTCTGTCTCATCAGACGCACCTGTGCAGCTTCATGAAGACTGAATGAATCATGGAGGACACGCGAGCATTCAGAGATGGAGATGTTTCTCCAGGATGCAGGTAAGTCAAAGTCTTCATATGATCTTAATGTTAAATAGAAGATACCTTGTACAGCACATAAGCAGAGTGTTTAGGGTGTTTGTCAGGGTTGGTGTAGTGATCTGTTGACTTTTTCATATTCTGGACACCACAGATAGACAGACAGGTGGCTGCAGAGATGACATTATGCTTGGACAGTGTCATCACTCTTCAACAAATCTTCAGCTTCATTTATTTCTTTAATATATATTTTTGATAGACAACTTTCCTGTGTTGAGTTTATTTTCATGTAAAATCAACCAGTTGGATTCTTGTGTCTACTAAATTCTCTCTTTTCCAATGTCGCTCTTCTATTAAAGTCAATTTCAGGAGGACAGATCAAACTCATCAGAGCCCAGCTGTGTGTCCATGAAGAGTAACCGGTCTATGCAAGAACCGTTAAGATTTGATGGAAGACACACATCACCTGATCTGAGGTACAACAGTTTTACCATCAAATTACAGCACAAATGAAACAGCTCCATCACTTTAATGGGAAAACACATCAACAGAATGAAAGTCACTACTATCTAGCCCTAAAAATAGAGTACACCAGGGCCGGACTGGGACATAATTTCAGGCCGGGAAATCTCACACTCATCCAGGCCACACAGAAAAACCCCTTATTTCCTGTATATAGCCCATACATCCACAACAATTTCTGAAACCAGACAACCCTATTATTTGAATGGCCATCATCTAAAAAATGATTATCTCTGTCTATGATATCTCCAATATCTCTGTCTCTCCCTTTTTTTTCTTACCTGTCACTTCTTCACCAGCAGGTCTACTGTTGTGAACAGAACTGTGTCCACCTTGTTGAAAACAACCACCTCATTTCAATTTGTTAGGAGAGACATATTTGTTGTTATTATTATTATCAATATTTAAAACAGTACATCAGGATTTTTTGATGAATAGAAAGTAGGGCTGGAACGACATGGGGGTAAGTGATAAACGACAATTTTCATTTTGGAGTGGAGTAACCCTTTAATGCAAAAATAAAACAAAATCAGCTAAGCTACGAGTTCTTAAATCAAACTCTAAACAGAAATATTGGAGATGCTGGTATGCGCCCATCGCTCGGGTATCAGGTGTGCTTCATGCTTAATGCAGGCAGCATCTGAAGAGTGGATTACTCCAGATATGTATAGATGCCACATTCACCCGCTCCAGATACGTTGATGCGTCCGCCATTTTGGAACGGTCAACTTGACGTAATTTACCATAATAATCAATGAATATTCAAAGACACAAAGTTGTGGACACAGTCGAATTGTGCTTGAGGGTCGCAGACCTTTCCAAAATGGCGGATGACTTGCATATCGCGGCCCATAGAAACAGTCGCTAATGAGGCATCTGCATATACAGTGGGGCAAAAAAGTATTTAGTCAGCCACCAATTGTGCAAGTTCTCCCACTTAAAAAGATGAGAGAGGCCTGTAATTTTCATCATAGGTATACCTCAACTATGAGAGACAAAATGAGAAAAAAAATCCAGAAAATCACATTGTAAGGATTTTTAAAGAATTAATTGGTAAATTCCTCGGTAAAATAAGTATTTGGTCACCTACAAACAAGCAAGATTTCTGGCTCTCACAGACCTGTAACTTCTTCTTTAAGAGGCTCCTCTGTCCTCCACTCGTTACCTGTATTAATGGCATCTGTTTGAACTCGTTATCAGTATAAAAGACACCTGTCCACAACCTCAAACAGTCACACTCCAAACTCCACCATGGCCAAGACCAAAGAGCTGTCAAAGGACACCAGAAACAAAATTGCAGACCTTGGCTGACTAAATACTTTTTTTCCCCACTGTATATCCATGAGATTCCCCCTTCTATGTAAAGTGCCTTGAGTACCCAGAAAAGCACTATATAAATGTAACATATTATTGTTATTATTAGTATTGCTGCTTTTTGAGTAATTCCAACTACATATCAATGATGGATGTCCTTCCTCTGTCGCTTACGTTGCTGTCTGCATCTGGGCCTCTTCTTCACTGTAGTCTCTTCACCACTATACCTTCTACCTTCTTCTTAAACTTTGTGGTTGAATACAAAGCATCAAACTCAGACATCTAACTTTCACAACTGTTGTTTATTCATCCTAACAAAGCAAGTATTGCAAGTGCAAACATTTTTATATCAAAGCATATACAGTGTTAACATAAATACAAGAAAATTACATAACATTGAAGCAGGTAAATACCAATAGCAATATCAATATCCAAAACAATAGATAGAAAGATAGATAGTAGATAACATAATATAGATACAATTTGCGGATGCTTTATTATTATTCAGGTTTTCATTTGTATTCTGTCAGCTCATTTAGTTGCTGAATCTACCTTTCATGTGTTTTCTTTGTTATATGAATGTACTTTTTCCCTTCTATTCTATTCTATTCTATTCTCTTCTTCACTGTAGTCTCTTCACCACTATACCTTCTACCTTCTTCTTAAACTTTGTGGTTGAATACAAAGCATCAAACTCAGACATCTAACTTTCACAACTGTTGCTTATTCATCCTAACAAAGCAAGTATTGCAAGTGCAAACATTTTTATATCAAAGCATATACAGTGTTAACATAAATACAAGAAAATTACATAACATTGAAGCAGGTAAATACCAATAGCAATATCAATATCCAAAACAATAGATAGAAAGATAGATAGTAGATAACATAATATAGATACAATTTGCGGATGCTTTATTATTATTCAGGTTTTCATTTGTATTCTGTCAGCTCATTTAGTTGCTGAATCTACCTTTCATGTGTTTTCTTTGTTATATGAATGTACTTTTTCCCTTCTATTCTATTCTATTCTATTTTGTTAAAGCCAAAGTGACAGATCAATCTCATCAAAGCTCAGCTGTGTGTCCATGAAGAGTAACCAGTCTATGAATCCACCAGTAACATTTGAGGGAAGACACACATCACCTGATCTGAGGTACAACATCTCTTTTTAAATAGATTAATGTGAGAATAGATTAGATAGATTGGTTTTGATTGTTCTGTATAAGGGGTTAATTTATAAGGTAATTCTGTGTGATTTCAACACAATTGTACACAGTTCCCTTGCACACATTTGGTTTTTCGACTGCTTTTCACTGCTCAATTGTATTGTCTCTGTTGTCCATGTTTGTCCATAATTAGTGAGCAGCTAACGGACACTCCAGGAATATTTAAGGGAAAACGCATGCCATCTAATCTGAGGTAAAATATTTCTGTCTCGGCTGTCAAGAGATTTTATTACTATCAGTTTTACTCATCTGATTTATATCTTAATCTAATGTTTTATACTTTCAGTCGTGACTCTCAACTGGTCCAAAGCAGATTCAAATCAAAACTGCTGAGTAAGTTTGGGCATCTGTATGAAGGAACAGCGACGCAGGGAAACCCAACTCTCCTGAATGATATATACACAGAGCTCTACATCACAGAGAGTGAGAGTGGAGAGATCAATAATGAGCATGAGGTGAGACAGATTGAGACACAATCCAGGAGAGCAGCCACAGAGGACACAGCCATCAAATGCAATGACATCTTTAGACCTTTACCTGGACAAGATAAAGTCATCAGAACTGTGCTGACAAAGGGAGTCGCTGGCATTGGAAAAACAGTCTCTGTGCAGAAGTTGATCCTGGACTGGGCTGAAGGGAAAGAGAATCTGGACGTCCAGCTCATATTTCCACTTCCTTTCAGAGAAATCAACCTGATGAAGGACAAAACACTCAGTCTTTCAGATCTACTTCATGTCTTTTTCCCTGAAACTAAAGAAATGGAAATATCCAGTGATGAATATAAAGTGCTGTTCATCTTTGATGGTCTGGATGAGTGTCGTCTGTCTCTGGACTTTAAGAGTAAAGTGAAACTGTGTAATATATCTAAAGCAGCCTCAGTGGATGTGCTGCTGATGAACCTCATTGTGGGGAATCTGCTTCCCTCTGCTCTCATCTGGATCACCTCCAGACCAGCAGCAGCTG